GTAGAGATATATATTGATAAGGTTATTGGTCTTCATATCTCTTGATTACGATAAGATTTGGCATTTATCTGACATATATATCCACAATAATAATTAAAGATAAATACCATTAGTTATGGATAGATACAACCTAAATATGTTAGGCATCCATATGTAGAGATAAGGTTATTTTTGAAAATAAAAAAACAATAAATAATTTGAGGTATTTTTTCGTTAAAGAAATAAATTGAGGTACTCTTTGCAAATTAGAATAAACTGAGTTTTTTTTCGTTTGAAAAATAAATTGATGAATTATTCGAAAATACATAATAAAATGAGGCAAAAAAAAAATTTTGAGGTACTTTTGAGAAATAAAAAAAAATATCTGGTACAAAAAAATATAATGAGCTATTTTTTATGAAAAAAATTAATCGATGAACTTTTCGTTAATAAAAAATAAAACTAATTTGAGATATTTTTTTGTTCAAAAAATAAATAGGGGTACTTTATATATAGGTTATCAAAATTCGTTTTTACATGCTGAACCTTACACCATACTTCCCTTGTCGTACATTCTGTGTCTCGTTTCCCATGTCTTCAGCAACAGCTTTAATGGTTCTTCCTGTTGGACAAAACATGGAACCTAAAGCCTGGGGTATATGGTGCATTTCATGTTCCATTAGGCTGAGACTTCCCCATCTATCACCCTTGGAGTTGTTGGTTGAGTTTCCATGCTTTGTTATCTCTATTAGTTTCCTGGGTTTTGGTCAAAAAAAAAAAAAAAATTTGTCGTATTTTAGCAGCACTTGTGTCTCTATCTGGAATTTCTCTAGAGCCAGTCCTTTCTTTGCAAACTTCAACCCCATTCTACTGTTGATCAGAATTTGGAAAACTCCTCCCTATCTTGCCTTCCTTCTGGCTTTCCAGAAGTAGGAAAGAGTTTGTGATGCATCTTATATGTATTTAAAAACATAATATCTTGAGATGGAATAAAGAAAGTCCAATTTTTAGAGGGGGGGAATCTAAGAGTTAAAAAATCCAAAATTCAAATTTGCCTTTTGATAATAACAATCTTGTGACTTTTAAGGGGTTTTCAAAATTTCAGATTAAAAAGATCCTCCCGAATAAGTGAGGAGTATATATGCCCTAAACTTCTAAGTCGGGATGCAATCGTAAACGTAGCAGTACTGCCAAGAATCAAAAATTTCAAAGTCTGCTTTCCAAAACTTACCAAAACCTCTATAATAATTTGTATAGGTACCCAACTACCTCTAAATTTTGTAAAAAGATGTAGTTCTAGTATTAGAGATAGCAAATCATGATGCTACTATTTCCGATTATGTGGTGGGCAGGGCTCTCAATTTCCCTTTATAATAGGATTTCAGACTTATCGCGATCTTAATATTTTGATCTACTTGCGTTTTTGGAAGAGATGTACATTCCTCAAAATGTCGATGCTATTGATGAGGTGGTTCGGGAAATTGACAAAAATGAGATTTATTCGGTCAAATCCATGTATCACTTGTTGTTCAATGATCAGTCAGATAGTCCATGCCGGTACTTGCCGGATTGTGGAAGTCGCCTTTACCGGTAAATGTACAAGGTTTTTTGTAGTTGGCGGCCAAAGATAAAGTGCTTACTATAGACAACCTTATAAAGAGAGAGAAAATTTTAACTAATATCTATTTGATGTGTGAGGATGGAGAATCTGGAGACCATCTTTTCCTTCATTGTCCCTTTGCTTTACGCATTTGGACATAGTTTTTTGTGAAGCTAGGAGTGGCTTTAGTCATGCCAGCATCGGTTATAGGGATCTTACAATACCTTACGGTTGCTCTCCCAAAAATTGGGTTAGTGGTGTAGCAAATTTTCTATTTTTTTTTTTTCCCTTCTTGGGGAAATTTACACTAATATCGTATTTGATTTGCAAATTTCATTTAAAACGAAAAAAGCTCCATGTTTTATCCACTTCCCTTTTTTTTGTTATGTACTTTTTTTACCAAAATATAGATTCATCTAAAATATTTTATCCTTGAGTTCCAAATAGTTTGCTTTTTGGGTTCGAAACGTTTCAAGTTTCAGACCGATTTTCTTTCTTCTTTTTTTTTTTAACTAGAGCCGTCCAAAACTAAAAAATCTGAGTTCAGTCGCTTGATTTTTTTGTAGCAAATTACCTGTTTGGAACTTCACTTTCGTTTTTTTGTAGTGAATGACCTGTTATGGCTTTTTTAACATTGAAAAGCCATCTAATTGATCATTTAGATTATCATCAGAATCTTATCCCAATTATTTGAAGTAAGCTACATTAATCCTATTTTATCATTCTGCTCTAATGAGATGTATGAATGTAGTAAAGAAAAAAAAATTCTAGTTTTGAAAGTAATACATCGTGTTGGAGGGTCAATTTATTTGGACCATCCATTTTCAAGATTTTCTTGAGTTTGTAGATCTGCTTGATTTGAACAATTTTTTGGAGTTTAAAATTTTATAATCAGATATGAAAATCAACTCTCAGGCCATCCTAAGAATTTTCAACACTAAAATTGCATCTTATGACAAAGTTTAGAGGTCCGCTTACTTTGATTCTTTCTAATTGCAACCTAATGCAAACCACACCTTAAATAAAATAGATGAAGTCTACTCCATATCCATTTAAATCAAGAATTAATTTTTTTTGAATAGTCATGTGATGATTCTAAAGTAGGCAGATCAAAAAATATATTTTATTCAAGTGAGTGCACAAAATGTACACGTGAATGAGTACCACTTAAATAATAATAATAATAAAGGGTGCATGAGTGCACGTTTATTATTCACTCTATTATTATTTTAAGAGAGAGAGATTTTAATTCCTGAACATCTAGTTCTTTCCCTCAATAAATTGGATAGTTCTTGTTCAATCTTGGTACACAGTTTATTTGAACACAGAAGAGATGAGTATCTCCTCAGACTTCCAACTTTTCACCCTTCTATTACAACATTCAAACTCTTTTTTTTAACTTTTTTTTTTGCCTTTTCTTATACCTCTGTATTAGTTTGGATAAGAAAGAAAGAACTGCCCTCCAGAGCGTTTTTTATCCAAAAACCTGAGCCTGTATGCCATGCTCTACTCTCTCTCCCCCCCAAAGAGAGACATGGCTTAGTTTGAATTGCGGGACAAAACTATAAAAATTGTACTATCACTCCAAAGAGAGTTTATCCTAGCTCGCCTTTAGGGATAAAACTATTAAGATTTGCTCTCTCTCTCTCTCTCTCTCAAGTGTTAGGGAAGAGGATATTCATGTCAATCACCACATGCAATTACTAAGAATGCTCAAGGAAGCAACTGGTACGGGAAATAGTCCTGTGCGGGCCATTGGCTTGGGAGGTCAGGGTGGCAATGTAGCCAGTACGACGTCAAAGGTTACAATCCTACTCATTAATTTAAAAAAAAAAAGTCTTGTATACCAATAAACTATGAAGCATATTGCCAAAAAATTAATCCAATTTCCAAGAGTATTTCCATACTCTTGCTAGTACACAAGTTGCATAACAAGGGAGAAATAGAACTTTTACAGAAGCTAAAATAGGCTTCTCCTGTTTACAAATATGGCTTAAACAAAAGGGATAGGCAGAGAACGTGATGAGGATAACCTAGAAAAAGGTAGAGATTTACAAGACAGTAATGGGTCAGGTTAGGCTTGAGGGTTGAGGTCCACTGTAAGGCTCTTGAAGCTCCACTCGTGCCTTATTCAAAACCCCAAAAGCTCTTAAGCGTTCCTAGGGTTAGGGCAAAATACAAATCCTCATTTTCAATTTCTATGCAACCTAGAACTAGTGTTTAGGCCCGTAATAGCCTCGGATTGCAATTAGCGGCTAAATAATTAACCTGCAGGAAGACCAAGCAGATGCTTCAGTTTTATTGATGGAGAGACAATTATTTCAAGGCAATCACAGGGGAACCAATCAAATAAAGATCAAATCACTTGCATTAATCAGCAGAAGTAATTTTCTTGGTGGCAGTGGAGAGGTTTCTCTAGAGCAAGAGCGCACAGTTTACATGGCTATATTTTACTTTCAAACCAGTAAACAACAACAACAAAGAGACTCTTCGACCTATAAAAAGCAGACTCTCGGTACATTGACATTGGGTTTTCCCCTGGTTCAATTGGGGACTCCGAATCCAGTAAAAATCAAAACTATGAGAAAAAAACTGTCAAACCAGTAAAAAGCAGATGATTGGACTCTTAACAAACTGTCAAGCCAAGAGTTTTTCATTCCTCTTTGTGATGTAAAACACTGGGTAAGCTATTACCGTTCAGAGCAGAGTGGTAAATTCTTTTTTCAGCTAGCCCAATATCTGAAAGTATAAGATTTCCCTACAAAACAAAGACACCAAAATTGAATAAGCAAATAAAGCACTCTTAGCGAACTCCTCAAAATTAAAGAACAGATCTCTTATAGTTCCTTATATGACAACAAGTTCAATAGCAAATTGAGAGCGTAAGACACGAGAAGCTTTCTCATATGAAAACCATGAAGAGGCTATTCTCCGTCTTCCAACTGCCTAACTATTCAAAACTTGGTAACCTTGGTTAAGCTGTAGTCAGGGTTTGCCTCTACCTCGGTTAAGCTAATCAGGGTTTTCATGGTAGAGGTTAACCTTCTCATGGTTTTCAAACTAGAAAGCTTCTCATGCAATACATTCTCCTCGTTAGTCACCATATAATGTGAAATATCCACAAAACACTCTTGGGGAACTACTTAGGGGGAGATTACGCCAGGTGAATACCTCACTAGCCATTAGCTTCCTCACATTATTAGCGTACAGCTTGGGGTCTTCCTTCTCTTCTGGTGAAGGGTAATATACGGGGAGATGAATCACTTCAATATAGTTTACAAATTGGCAAAAAAGCAAAAATACATGACGTATCTGCCATGTAAAGTCAATCAAATGATCAGATATACCAAAAATGAATCATGATACGGATAATAAAAACCCTAAAAGATCTAGTACGAAGTGAGGATAAAAATTTGAAGATTTAAGATATCAAACATTTTTTTCAATGAGCTAGGCTCATATGGTTATCATTCGAGAGAGTAACAATCCATCATTCCGCCAATTGGAATGATGGATTAAGACATGCCTGCTTAGCTAAATGCTAATAAAACCATAAAATAATATGTTTCTAACTTAGGAAAGGGTGCTAACAAGATAAATTTCTTATCAAAATAAAATTATTCAGCTTCAAAACATGCAATATATCTTTGCACCTAGAAACGATTCTCACCCCAGATATAGTATCCCATGCTGGACTAAATCTCTCGTAAGGATATTGTAGAATCACAGGCAGGACAGGCGCTTTACAAAGGAATGCACCAGTTTTGAAGGGAAGAAGAAAATCACCATTGGTAGTTGTTCCCTCTGCAAGGCCAAATAAGGACAACAAAAAAAAGCCTTAGCCATAAAATTGAAAGTAGCTTCTATTTAAATGAGTTTAAATGATCAAGAAATAGGATAGCCACATAAATGGCTAAACGCTACTGGACCGTGAGAAATTCCACCATGGCCCTGTATTCTTTTACTGTTGCCGAGACTACAGATGTGACGAGTAGAAATGGTTCCATCTATTAATTACCCAGTTAATGGGAGCAGTACGGGATCATTCTATTTCAGCCACATAATGCTCTTCAACCTCACAATGTGACGAGTAGAAATGGTTCCATCTATTCATCACCCAGTTAATGGGAGCAGTACCAGATCATTCTATTTCAGCCACATAATGCTCTTCAACCTCACAACCCTAGATTCACTAGACTATGATGTGGGAATGGTTTCTGGGAAACCTCGAGAATGCTACCTTATAATAGTAGTAGAAATCAAAATTTTACCTAAATGTTCTCATATTTTCCACACCAGCAGACATAAGTCAGCAACTAGGACCCAAGAAGATCAAACTGGGAAAAGAGTCAGATAATCCATGCCTTTACTGCTGTTTTCTGTAATTTACATTCTTTTCGAACAAAGTTACTAGCATTGGCCCAGGCCGTCAGTAGAAAACCATTACATAAATTCTCCAGCCTCTCATAATATGCTGGGAAGAAATACTCAGAAAACCCTTTACTTCAGCACGAGTTTCTCCTATCTGCATTAGGATCCTCAACATACATTCCAGAGAGATGAGTAGAGTGTAATCATTAAACAAGGGGGAGAACCAGTGGGCCCATTGCTGGAAGCACAACAACTGACATAAAGCATATAAAAAACTAGTACAGTTATGAAAATTTTGCATGTAAATAAACATTGTTCTAATACAAGAAATAAATTGAAAATTACCCGGAAAAAGCATCATCTTTGGAGCAAGTTTATTCTGATGGGCAGCTTGAACCCTTTCTGTCACAACACCTGCAAACAGTGGAGATGATTAGAACTTGGGAATCAATATGAAAATAATATGATGCTCAAGCCCTTGCACACGAGAAAATTTCTGATCCACTATAGTGTTAAAATATCCTTGCCATCTCAACTTTTAGACATGCACATAAGTGTTATCTTTCCAAGTCTTACAAGCATCACATAAGTCTTTTCTTTCCAACTCTTTTTTTGTGAATAAAATATTTGATTATAAGTTATCCAATGAAACATGCGCACCTTGTGCCAGATTTTCAAAGCTGAAGAAAACCTACCATTCACTGACATTCAAGAGCTCATACAAAACTTCACCAACATCTCCAACCCCCACACAACTTCCTTGTTCATTTCACACATCCCCAAATACACATTATAAGCAGTGCTCACCGAACCCTACATCTCAATAAAGGCCAAAAAAATAAAACGTTCCCCACTCTTTGATCCCTATTCCAAGCAACAAAAACTCAAGAAACACCAACCTACAAGTAAACTGTCCTGAGGTTACCCTTCCAAAAGCTAGTCCCCTTACCATTAAAAAGTTCTCTTCAAGAAATATTCACAAAAGAGTGAGCATGCCTCCACAACTCCAAAGAAGTATTGCAACCTATACTTAACTGATATCGAGGATACACAGGACTGCACCATCAGAAGGTTATTTACAAGAAAAAAGAGGTACAGAAAAGCCTAAAGCTGTCTGGCCAAAATAACACCGACCTTCCAAAATACCGAGGCCGCTAGCTTTTTTGATCTACACACCTGAACAGTATGCATTTTTACAATAAAAAATATATATATATAAATACATATATATATTTTTATATATATTTTTTCCTCTGGATTGAAAGGAATTTGTGTATCTTTCAAGGAAAAAGACCCAAAAGAGAACAACTGTTGCACCCAATCATTTCTATTGTTGCTGGCTTAGCAAAGGTGAATGGATGGACTTTCCACCCGTCTAAGAAGCCTATAGTTGATAACCTCAAAATCCAATGGCACCCAATGCAGCCAAAAACTTTGATTTTGGTCTCATGGTCTCCACCCCAGCAGGTCTCCATAAACTAAACATTGATGGCTCGTACCTTCGCAACCTTGGAGCAATTGTTTGTGAAGAAATTATCAGAAACAATATGGGAGGGTTTTGTGCCGCTTTTGCTATTCCTCTAGGGCACACATCAAACAATGTTGCTGAATTTTCAGCCCTTGAAAGGGGCATTCAGCTAGCTATTGAGTTGCATTGCTTTCCACTGCTCATTGAGAGCGATTCACAGATTCCAGTGCATTCCCTTCACGGCCGCCATAAGTCACCCTGGAATCTCCGTATTATGACAGCAAATTGTCGTTACCACCTGGATGCCCACCCCTAGAATATTAAGCATGTCTATCGAGAGGCCAACTTGGTGGCCGATCACTTGGCCAAGAGTGCACAAGTCTCTTTGAGGCCACGGTTTGGCGTGCCCGGCCACCTAATTTTATTTCTCCTCTAATTTCTTCTGATATGGTTAGGACTTTGCATGAAAGAACTGTACCATAAACTCTTCATCCTTTTGTACCATTCTTACTTATTAATGAAAAATGGGTAGGGGACCAAATCCCCACTGACTTACCCAAAAAAAAAAAAAAACACGACGTATTTTTGACAAGCATGCACTTTCATTATTAACAAATATGCCATCCATGTGCCCCATCGAACCAATAATTGAAAAAAATACGGAGAGATTCTCCCACAGAGAGGAAACACTGTTCCCTTCCAGCTGGCTACTCTGCCACTCACTCACTTTAGAATTAATCCCAGACAACTCGCAGGAGCACTAAAACCATTGGAAAAGACAGGTATGATGAAGGAAGGATGCGCGCTTCCCAAGTTACTAAATAGATTTTATGGTTAAATGGATATCATGAAACCCAACAGTGAAAAGCTTATGTCAATGCATATCTTCTCCTTGCATATAAGTTGCAATCTTTGATTGTCAGTGAATTCCATAATATGACCTTGGGATCGAACTATTGTCTCATCAAAAGCAAGTGATATTTTCCAATTACGTTACAGAACATTTATATATCCGTCATTGTGCAATAAGTAAAGAACATAAAGAAAAAAGCAATTAACTAAAGAAACTTTGACTGCCTAACAAAAAAGTGAAATCCCGGAGATACAAAATTGTGGATTATCCCATAAAAATTCACCTCCCAGAAAATGTAAACAAATTTCTAACTTATTAGAATTATGGCCGTAAATAATATTAGATCCCACAAAAACAAAATGAGCATACCTGAAACACCCTTGAAGTCCAATGTTTTTGACTCTCGCTGCACATAGACACATCCTAGACACTTGCTGTAGATGTAGTACATGAAGGAGCAGCTTTTAGCAGAATGTTCAGTGCCCTTTCTAAAAAGTACTTCATCAAGTGCAAATCATGATGTCCAGAACAAGAAAAGGAACAGCTATTCCAATATCACAGTAAGATTCAGTTCCAATCACCAATATGAAAACATTCTAGGTAAGTTATCTAATGTACCTTTTGCAGTACTATTTAGTTAAGACATGAGGAATATAGTTATATAATATCAGAAGTACCCAGCATGTAATACAAGATAGAACTCATAAATAATCATATACAATTACAATAAGATAATAGTTTCTCATACTCCCTCTCAAGATGTTGGTGCAAGCAATGCATCAAATGTGAGATTGGGATCATCAAATCCTATCTGGAATCAAATCCCAGGCAGGAGAATTCAATTCAAAAGAAGATTCCTAGATAATCCCATCAGAACTTTAGGATCGATAAGGTGAATCGTATGATTCATGGACCACATGGTCATCCGCCAGATTACTAATATCTAATACATATATAATCGTTACTTTGTGATAATTTTTTTCGCATTTTGTTTCCGTCCTTCCTGCAATTTTTAATCACCCAAATGACCCAATCAGATCTCTGAGGAAGGTTTTTCTAATAACCAAACAGAAGGATTATCATTTATGCATTGTGTAATAGTTGGGGACAACATGTGCTGAAGTTGTGTATATTGTCATTCTGTGCTTATACATGCCTTTTTGATATCATTCAGTTAAAAAGGACTGATCCTGTCATATCTGCAATAGGCCAACCTTGCTTGTGGTCTATGGTGTTGGACAACGTATAAAACATAAATGGAGTGGAAAAGGAATAGGGCAATCTCGTGACCAAGGTTTAGATGAAAATTGAGCAATGTGGAAATGGAGGAATCTTGAGTATGTTTGTTGGTTGTCTATGAAAGATATTTACCACGTTTCGTTTACTGGACAGGATAAGGTGGCAATGGAATAGTGACAATGCTTTTCAATCCTATTGCTCCTTAGAGTCCTTCTAGGGGAGGGGGTTGCAAGCTCTATGAGTTGGCTTATTTGGTATATCTCAATTCCTCTCAATTCTTAAAACTTCAGCCATTCAGCCATTCTAGATCAAGTCCTTAAAAATTACAACCACCACCTCCAAATCATGGCCCCAAGCAATCAGGTCGCACCAAAGTCTCCATGTGTCAGCTGAGAAGACAATAGACACCTTCTATGTCATTATTACCATGATAGGAAGATCTGACTCTACCTCTTGAATCTTTTTGAAATGTGCTAGATGAATCAGGAGCGAAGGGGAATACATATGTTGGGATTCAACAGTAGCATTTTTCTAAGAGTGATCAATTTTTGTTTTTGAAAGGCATGCCCCTCAGCATGAGCTCTATACTAAAAAGAAATCAACAATAGCAGCTGACTTGACCCCAAGTGTCAGATGATACACAAAAAGTTAATAATCAGAAACAGATCACGTGAACGGCCAAAGGATTTTCTGAAGCTCACCTTCAAATTCAGCTCCATCACCAACAAACTAGTTGGCAAGAGTGGGAGCATTGCTAGAAACACTCAAGGTAGGAAGGTCGACACATTTTTTGGGCGTATGGACACTTGAGAAACAGCAGAAAATGGCATATTGATAAATTCGAGGCCCCAATAGTGGAGGCGACTCACTCAACATAGTCAAGTGGACATGAAGTGAGGCAGCATATCCATGGAGTATAGCCAATATAATGGAAAATCAAACTGCTCTTATAATTTATAAAATGGTCGGCATATTGCCTTCTCATATTATCAAGGGAACTAATGAGGAGAACAACTCCCCAGCATGAGAAGGGGAAGACAATCTCCTATCCCAAAATGGGCGAAGGTTCTTATCCATCCGGGCAATCTCATATCCCATAATATCTGATTGCGTTATATGTATATTGGTTGTATCTTCACTGCAACTTGATATATTCCAATGCACGACTTAAGATTCGTCACTGATTCTTCTTATCTTTTTCCAATGTTATCCACGCTCTATTTTTCACTACTACCACCATTTTTCAGTAATAAAGATTAATTATAGCAATCAATTAACTATGACACGACAACCTGAAAGGATCCTAAAATTAGATTAAGCAATCAATAATTCATTTTCATCTCACAATGAATTTGGAAGATATTTTATTAACAATAGATAAAACATGGTTGGGAGATTCACTGCAACACAAATTGTTCCCAGAGAAATATGTGACCATCTTAAATTGAGTCTAAGCTTAATAGCTAAATCAAAATGCAGTTCATTTGCAGAAAACAAAAGATTAAAGCAACAAACTAGTGCTGTCGTTTGAACCAAGGTCAGAATTAGCTAGTAGGAATAAAAATAGCAGAACATGCCCAAATGAAAGTAATAGTACATTAGGGATGCCACCTAGTCATTAAAAAACAATATATAAAATTTAGTGGAAGCATAAGATTAACTAACCTGATAAGACCAACTAGGGGAAGTCTAGCCACTGATCTCTTCAACAAAGAAACCGCAAAAAGCCAATTTTCAACAACAAAATATGAGCATATCAGAACCAATTTTGCATCCAAAATATTGTAAATTCAAGTGTTCCGGTTACATTACATAGGAAATAAGTAACCATTGAATGGGAAAAGTATAACCTACCTTTGCAACAAAGCTTGGGAAAGAGGATGACATATGATAAAGAATATCCAAATATGATATGTGATTAGATATAATTGCCCCAGGCCGATCTGAAACCTCCGTATGTTCATTCTGTACAAGTGATCAATGAAACAATAAAATTAACCTACCCAAAGAAATATAAAAATTGAACCCAAAAAATTCTAATAAACATTCATGCAAATTGCTCTGAGCGCCCAATTTTGTGGGCTGCCTCTTCTTTAGTTATTTAATTGTAAAGTACTTTTATTTTTTTAGAAAGTTAACCAATTCTCGAAAAAAACATTCATCCAAGGCCTACCAAAAACACAAAGGAAATTCACAAAAATAACTCTTTATCTGAGAAAACCACAAAAAACAAAGGCAGCTAAAAGATATTTAAATTATATAATAAGAACAGGGAAATTAGTGTTCCACCATCAGTAACCAAACAAATACAAGACATTGGAATAACAACTGTGCATATTTTTCTGGAAGTTTGTTTTTTAATTGTAAAAAAAAAAAAAGAGCCTTTTTTTTAGGAAATGGTTAACTTTGTATTAAAGTATAAAAGAATTACATCAAAATGAAGCTAAAGATGGCATCCCACATGTTGGGTGCTCAGAGTCTCAGACTACAAAATTTACAGTTTGGGTGAGCCTCGCAAAAGATGAGGGTATCATCAACGTATAGGAGGTGAGAGAGAATTGGACCAGTGGGGGAGGTCCCCCGAAAGAAAACCCCTCTCATAAAGTCTGGAGAAAGTTCTCGAAAGAGGGCGAAAGTGGGTCCCCCTGCCTGAGCCCTCTAGAAGCAGGGAAGCAACCCACTGCTGAACCATTGAGGAGGATCGAGAAGGAAGGATTGGAGACTTTCTCAGAGTCCCTGTAAGTCAATTTTTTCAGAGTTCCTTCTGTGAACTGAGTTGCTTTCTAGAAGAAGCATTAAATAAACTAACTTGATAAAACTAACTTGATAAAACTAACTATCACGAGAAAATGCCCCAGAAAAAAGAATATAAATGTAAAAAAGATAGAGAATATTTTGCTTAGAAGGAAAGTAAACATATTTGACACTGAAAAATCACCTGAATACAAATATTTCAATATCAGAATATCACATAAATAAAGTGAACGAGAAAAAAAGATAATAAAATGAGCCATAATTTCAACAAACAAATCTCTAACCAAATAATCCCACAATAAACTCCATAAACTAAGTCAAATACCATAAACTCCTGAAAATTACCTCTCCAGCCAATTTTTCACCAGAATTGGACCCAACTTGATCAGGAATTCGATAGGTCTCTTTGATCCAATAAAATCCTAGCACGAAGAGCATCGCTCTCGACAATAACCTTCCACATTGCACAATAACAGTCCTTCTAATCCCAGTCAAGTGAGCATAATCCTCTTGCTCCTCCTCCCTAAAAGGAACCGAGAAGAGAGTACAGAGCCTACAGATCAAGTAATACACGAACAATATCAAAAGCCCAAGAACAAATCGAAGAGGCACCAGGGTAACAATGGCGAAACCCAGAAGCAGCTTCTCAATCAGAGGAAATGGACCTTGCCCCATCGTCCCATAGATATCATGCCTCACATAGGCCGCATACTTCTTCTCCATTTCCGCGAGATCATAAACTACAGTTTCAGAACCAATCTTGAGGAGAGGCCTCTCGTCCTTTCTCGAGCTCTCGGGATGGCTTTCGTCGCCAGGCTCCGCAGAGATTTGCTTCGAAGCTGACAAGTCCTTGAGCTCTGACTCCATTGATAAACCTTAATTTGGAGTAATCGCCATTTGAGGAGGATCTAGCCCTAGTTTTCTAGGGTTTTCAGATGAAGAGAGATGGAAAAGAAACCCTAGAGAGGAAGCAATCGAAGAGAGAGAGAATGGCCATGGCATGAGGAGCGCGCGCCCATCTGATCCTTTTTTATTTTCTTTCTTTTAGTTAGTGCACAGAGAGACGTGGACGCGGAGCGCATTTAAATACGAGTGGTCGGATGGGTGAATACTAAATAGACAGTGAATTTATATGGCCTTCATTGGTTGAGAAATTTCCTACTTGCCCTGTTTAGTGACCAACTCGGCTTTTTTTTTTTTTTCTTTTTTTTTTAATGATTATTCGTATATGGTACCAACTTAGTCCGAAAAGGATGAGGACTTTTAACTTTTCCTTAACCCGTCGTAAATCTAAGTAAGGGAGATTGATTGGTTAGATAGTCAACCAACATAAAATTTTATCATAACTTTTCTTTTTTTTTCAAAGGAAAATCACTTATATCTGTGCTACATCGAGATTGAGGATTTCTTCGTCTCGTACATACATACTATGAGGCAAATCGTAAGGCAGACTATCTTGCAAAGCATGGAGTTTCTTTATCTTTTTTGCTCATTTCTAAGGCATTAATTTCTTTGATGTTGTGTGATGTTTTTTAAGCATATATTCAATAAAGAGTTGTTAAAAAAAATAAAGTAAATTCATCACAATATACTTTAATTTTCCAATAATTTAACAATTTACTTTTTTCAACTATTTCCAATAAATGATAAGATGTGAGAAAGTAGAATTATGTAAGCTAATCATGTGCAACGCGAACCCAATACAACACCTGTTAAGAGGTGAGAGTTAGTTCAAGTGGAAGGTTAAAAAAATGACAAAGGTTAGACCCAAATAGACATGGTTGGAAATAGTAAGAAAAAATACGAGAATTTATGGCCTCACTGATGATATGGCCTTAGATAGAACAGAGTAGCAGACTAGGATTCATGCAGCAGACCCCAAATAATTGGAAAAAGACTTTCTTGATGATGATAATGACCTTTTTCAACTATTTCAAGTCATGGTCATGTGCATTTTGATAAATAGTTTGAAAATAAATTAAAAGATATGTGTAAAATGTTAATTAGTTGGTCTTTCATATGTATTTCAATAAATATTCCCAAAAAAAAGTCGTGCCACTCGTTAATAATTATAATAAAGCATACCTTCAAACTATGTTAAGAAAATACAATTTTGGTATTAGAAAATGTTCTTATGGTTTTAAAATATATTTTCATATCTAATTATACAATTTAAAGCTCTAAAAAAAATACAAATTGAATATATATCTATAAATGCTTAAAAATTCTGAAAATAGACCGTTCAAATAATGTGTTACAAGATGCACTATTTTTATGAATTGAGTTCTTTTTTTATATATGCATACATTTTGAGGCCAAGTTTACAGTCCTTTTACTCAAAAGGTTCTTAAAAAGTTTTGTCAAGAGATACTAAAATTGTTAGCTTTTTGAAGTTTATAACATCGAATGAGAAAAAATAGATTTTGGTAAATTATGTTGTTTAAGTTATTATAGCTAAATGACGTAAATACTTTTAATTGTTTCAAGATCGAAAAAAAGATACATTTTTGAAATGAACTTTAATTTAGGTTTAAAATCTAATACAAATTGGGGCATTTTAGTAGACTAGCCCAAACTACGACACCAAAGCCAAATGATGAAAATACTTGTTTCAACTTCAAAGCCTAGAATAAATTTAGAAAACTAGCCCCAGCTTAATTAGTTAGCACTTGACGATTTGCACCTCTACGTCCTGAGCTCAATTCCTACAAAGGGTAAAGGGCCCAATCTCCACTGACTCGCCTAAAAAAAAAACCTAGAACAAATTTAAAAAAAAAAAATATGTTTCTTGTTTAGACCCTAAACAAATATGGTTACTTACGTCATCTGGATTAGATAATTTAAATAAAGAACTAAATTAAGAAATATCATTACCTTTCTGGGTCCCAAATAAAAAATATGATAACTTTGGTGGGTAATTTGGGTATTTTCTTACATACATATTTAGATATCCAAATTCAATTCATCTCTCATATGATATCCACAAAATAAATGGAGTTGGATGTCATTTAAGTCATAAAGACAGGAAAGGTAAGCCTCTAGAGAGAAATTTGGTAGGCCATGAAGTAAATACTTAAGGAAAAAATTTATATAAGGTTGCAACCTTAAAAAGGTAGAATTACTGGTTGTGTATAAAAAATTCATCGAAAAATATTATTTTAATGTTGAAAAACCCTCTAATTGATCATCACGGTATTGAGATTAATGAATATGAAAAACCAAAAATTTTAAGTTATAAAAATAGTGCATCTTGGAACATATTATCTAGACCGTCCATTTTCGAGATTTTCATATGTTTATAGCTCTACATGTTTTAGTAATTTTTGGAGTTTAAAATTTTATAATTAAACATGGAAATATATTTTCAGGTAATCCTAAGAATTATTTACACCAAATTTATATGCTACGATAAAATTTGGAGGTGCGCCTTAATTAGATTGTTTAAGGTTGCAAACTTATAGAAACCACACCCAATACTTAAAGCTTATTTCTAGAATGATTAGGTTTTTATAAGGCCACTTTTTTTTTTAAACAATTATAGGGCCTAGGCTTTATGAAAACAAAATAAAACATCACCTAAAATCCTCATCTGGAAAGTGTTGTCGGAGACTAAAATCTTTATAAATGGCTCTAAATCAATTTTCAACACTGTATAAATTTTGAAACTAAATAAATAGTAAAGATCTTGCCTATCTATGAACACTTGTTTTTAAAGCAAAATTGATGGTTTGGATAATTTGTTGCAATATATGTTATTTTTAGAATTTGAAATCCTATTTTGTCTTTCACAACCATAATATTCTAGTCGAGATGATCGATGTAAAGTTTTCCAATGACTTCAAATTTTTTAGGAGTAATGAGTTGATAATTTACTTATTTTGATAAGGCTACAATCCTATCAAACTATTTTCCTTTTTAGAATTATGAGTAATACTTTTGCAAATACATATCATCTCTCTTTTAGTGCGGTTCGTTTTTGTGGATTTGTAAATTCTTGGATTTTTGAGCTTAAGAAGGATGACCTTTGTTTGCGAGTATTTTTTTTTTATTTAGTTAATATGTTGATTCTCTCTGATAATGGGGTTGGAGTCATGGTGGTAGCACCACTTGTGCCCCAGATAAGGTCTAAGCATTCATTCTCACCTAATACATTCGAAAACCTCTAAGCATTCATTATCACCTAATGCATTCGAAAACCACTAACGATTTAAAAAAAACGGGGGCTCGTCATCCCCACTGAATTACCGAAAAAAAAAATATTATTCTCTTTTATCTTACTTATAATTGAGTGGTCTTTAAAGTTGATAAGCTCGTAAAAGACAAACAACCCACAGGGAAACTATGTTTAATGGTCAAAAACCTTCAACAAAAAATTGAGGGGTCGAAAGTTCTTAATTAGACTTTGATTTCACTCTTGAACCTCTTTACAAAATATTTAAATTTATTTAAGTTACTCTAAATCTTGAACAAATCGGAATATTTTAGTAATTTGACTATCCTTGACAAGTAATAGTATTCCCATCGTTTAATTGGGGCCGATACGTGAGCCAGAGAATTTTCCTCCTTGTTAAATTTTCTCAACCTTGAACATGGGAAATTTAAAAACTTTTAGAATAAGTTTTGAAAAGCTATTTGAGTAAAAGATTATAGTGAATCTGTTAATTCATCTATTCATGCGAGTCGTTCCCTCAAGATCCATTATTAACATTTTTTATTTTAAATTTTTATGGATCCATAATTTCTATTACGGGGATCACGAATATATATATATATATAT